ATAAAATAACTAGACATTATGTGCACATCATTATAGAATTTTACTGTATTAATATAATTCCGAAGGTCTTTACCGATGATTTGATTTTATCATTTTATACAATTTCTTTACTAATTGATAGTATTGATACGATGATTATTTTATCAATTTAATACTCATATTGGTTTATTAGTTTCCCTAATGTACTATTTTTTGGCTTTCACATCGTATTATTTTACTGTTTACATATGCTATTACTACTGCATATGAGTTTTACTATTTCAACATTAATTCTTGATTATATGACTTTTATTATTATGAACTTATTGATGGCTTGCATACTTCTTCTTTCTCGTACTTTAAATTCAATTATAAGAATTTGGTGATCTACTGTGTTGTTTAGCTAATTATATGTGATTTAAATTATTTTAGATCAAGAAATAAATTCATGAGTGTGAGATTGATCAGGATTTCTCGGGTTTTATTTATTTTTTATTTTAGTTATTCTTTTATGTGTACATCATTGTAGAATTTTACTGTATTAATATAATTCTAAAGGTCTTTATCGATGATTTGATTTTATCATTTTATACAATTTCTTTATTAATTGATAGTATTAATACGACGATTATTTTATCAATTCAATACTCATACTGGTTTATTAGTTTCCCTAATGTACTATTTTTTGGCTTTCACATCGTATTGTTTTATTGTTTACATTGCTATTACTATTGCATATGAGTTTTACTATTTCAATATTAATTCTTTATTATATGACTTTTATTATTATGAACTTATTGATGACTTGCATACTTCTTCTTTATTGTACTTTAAATTCAATTATAAGAATTTGGCGATTTACTGTGTTGTTTAGGTAATTATATATGATTTAAATGATTTCATATCAAGAAATAAATTCATGAGTGTGAGATTGATCAGGATTTCTCAAATTTTATTTATTTTTTATTTTAGTTTTTCTTTTGTACTCATAAATAGAAGGATATATTGTGATTTATGATTCATAAGTATTGTATATAATTGATTCTTATGTCAATTAATATAATTATGTATTGATGTTTTGTATTATAAAATTTATTTATGTTGTTTATTACTGATAGATGAAATTATATAGTTCTATTATTATGTAATAAAAAATAAAAGATATAATTCTTCAAAATTAAATTATGGGGATGGCAATTGGTGTTAGAGCATAGTTGTTAGAAGAATTGAATTTTTATTAGAGTTGTAGGAATTGATAGTGAGTTTGATAGATTAGGTAGATTAAAGTATATTATTTTGTATACATAATTAATTATATTTATAAATTATTCATATCAAACAGAATTGTACAAAAGTGAATAGTTTAAATGGACTTACCAGAGAAAGATGTGCCAAATGAGCAATATATTGTAACTCTAGTGTCGTCAGACACTATTATGTAGTTGGCCAGTGTTTTAGTACATGTAATAGGTGATACTCAGAGTAAGCCATCAGGGAGAAAGGAAGAAGATGTGAATAAAAATTTGCAGATATTTCGCATGTTGAAGCCCCCAGTGTTCGAAGGTGTTGTAGGATCCCAAGCTGCAAAAGATTGATTACTAAAGATAAAAAAGATGTTCGACAACATGTAGTGTCCAAAGAACAAAAAGGTACTGTTAGCTGTATTTCTCTTTGAAAGGGAAGCTAATATATGGTGGATTGGACAACATAGGGAAAAATTCTAAAGAAAGATCAATGCTGAGATCACATGGGATGAATTCACTATAGTATTTAGGATGTAGTTTATACCTCCGTCAGCCTAACGACATATGCAAGAAGATTTCATTAAACTAGAATAGGGATGGAAGATTGTGATACAATATGAAGCTAAGTTTACTGCACTTGATATATATACTCCCCATTTGATCTCTACTACTGAAAAAAATGATATAAATTTTGCAGGGATTGAACAGGGAACTGAGACATCCATTAGTGCCTCTACAGATTCAGAATTTTTTTGAGTTGGTGGAGCGAGCTAGATTGATAGAGACTGATTTGGTAGTACCAAAATCCAGGCATGATTATAGCTCCATGTACGAAGTTAGTAGGAGGAGGATTAGTGAAGAAATAAACAGGGATAAAGATAGTGATGATAATAAGAAAAGTGAATACATTGACTCAAGGGGATCGTGATCGATATCATCTACTGTAAGCTACATTGCAAGTATTCATTGTGGAAAGATGCATGAAGGTCAGTGTTATCTTCTAACAGGGAAATGTTTTCAATGTGGACAGCAAGGGGACAAAGCAGTCGATTGTCCACATAGAGGAAGAATTAATTTAAGAGTGGGACAATCTTGATAAACTGAAGGATATATGACTGTAGGAGCAAGAGTACATAGTGAAATATCAACCAATAGGATCGATGACAGAGTTGTCAATGGTGGTCAGAGGGAGTTTGTAGCATTAGGATTAACAACAACGAGATTGTCAAATAAAATTTTTAGAAGTCATTATAAATTCAAATCACAATCGTCTTCATCAAAATATAGATATTGAAGTATTTTAATCATACTAATTTTTTTCATAAATTTTTGGCATTTGTATAAATCTTTAAGAAATTGATACATGTTAGTACAAGTAGGAGTTTCGGACCGTTAGATGTCCATTTTTTAAATTGATTTCACCAAAAAATTTTAAATAAAATGTGTTATTTTATGGATATTTTTTATAATTTTTGGAATTATTAGAGCAAAAAGGGTATGATAAGGAGAGAGAAATGAAGGAAGTGCTAATAACATGGAATAACCTACCTGACTATGTGATGTGAAACTAGGAATTGTTTATAAGATTAATAAGAAAATGGTTAGGCAACCATAAAGTTTAATCTTAATGTTCACCCAAATGAGATTCAAAGTAATTATTGAGAAGTAAACTACGATTATGCAATAAATCACAACTAAAGTTACGGGATCTTTTAAAATAACAATTCAAAACAAAATGATGCAAAGATTAGTTCAACTATAATCCATCGGTTAACGGAGCGATCGTCTCACCTTGAAGTCCGCAATCACTCTTCTATTTCTAAGGTTGGTGGGAGAAGAAGAACGAAACAATGATGGTGATCGCCACAAGGTGGAAGGCGCAGACGATCCGTAGCGAGGGCGAGGGAACCGGCGGCGGTGGGGATGGCCGGTGGCTTATGATCATCCAACGGCCAGGTGGTAGATACCCTTCAACTAACAGCGCCAATTGATACAGGATGCGGTTGATGTATCTGTCTATTGTAATATCCCAACCCGAATAGGGATCAAAGAAGGGCGATCGTGAGATGTCGGTTCTCCCGTTGGAATCCTCTACGAATTCGTGATCAAATTTCAGATCCACCATTCATGTTCGTAATGAATGGAGAAGAGAGGGACAAGGGAGGTGGAAGTGGCAGTTTGGGAAGAGAGGGGCTTGGCCGTGAGCTAGGGGAAGAGGGGGGCAATAAACCTGAATTTAATTTCAGATTTCCATTAAAAGAGGGGTTTAATTTCAAATTCAGAATTTTAAATTTGAAATTAAGCTAGGAGGGAAGGGGATTAATGGTGTATTAATGGGAGAAAGAGAGAGGGTGGGGTGGCCGGCCAAGTAAGGAGGAGAGAGGTTCTTGGGAATTAAGTAGGTGGGGCCCAAAGGATAGGAGTTAAATTCTAATCAAATCTGATTTTAATTTCAGATTTGATTAAATTTGAAATAACTTCCTAATTTGGTTTATAATGAGAGGGAAAAGGTTTGTATTTCAAAATAGACTTAAATACCCTTAAATGACTTTCCTAAATAGAGGAATACTAATTAGGAAATTAATTTAATCAAGGGGAATTTGAAATTCAAATGGAATTGGGTCCAGGGGAATCCGGCAGCAAGGTGGGAGGCCAAAGGGGTGGCAGGAGGGAGTCGGCGGCCTGGCAGCCGGCCGCGATATTTGGGTGGGCCGCTGGTAGTTAAACCAGTCAAGGGAGGCCAGCGATGGAGCTGGTGTGGCGGTGGGGGATTGAGAGGGTGGTGAGGTTTCAGCTAGGTAGGGGAAGGAGAAGAAGGGTGCAAGGGAAAGTGAAAATTTAGAGAGCTACAAACCTCAAGTACCACCTCCGCAAGAACTCTCAAAGAGATCTTGAAAATCTCACAAACTCACAAAGAGATCAACAATAAGAAAATTTCATTCATCAACAACTACCAAAATACAATGACTAGGCCTCCATATATAGGAACTTTTATTTTATCCGGTGAACGTACGCTCCTCTCTACGTTCGGTTTTAGACCAAAACAGCGCAATACCGAGTTTTTTTGAAAAAACTCGGTACTCGGTACTCGGTATTGCGCTGTTTTGGTCTAAAACCGAACGTAGAAGAGCGTACGTTCACTGGATGTAATAAAAGTTCCATATATAGGCCTTCCAAAACAAAACAACAAAGACGAAATTGCACTCGAGCTACAACATACAACGACTCCCTCATAGGGGTACAAATGGAAAAACATAAAATATAAATAACATGAATAAAATAAAACATCAGAAATAGAGACTATGAAGCATAGCTGTTGCTCGACAACTCCTCTGATGGTAAGAGTGCTGAAATCACCTACGGATATCCTCATCACTATGACGCCACATGGGAGTCGTGCGAGAGAATGAAACATCAAATTTTGTCTTTCCATCTTGAGGATAAGGTTGTTCTTTGGGAGGGGGCATTGATGGATCGATACCTCCTAGACTGGCCATGGTTTACATCATGTGGAACTTCTACCTACATAAAGATCCTGCCTAGGGTGGGACCCAGGGGGATAATTCAAAGGGAAATGGGGGCGGCTATGAAGGGAAAATTCAAATGAATGTGCTGTTTTGGGGATTTGCCTTGTTATTGTATGCTTTATGTAGGTGGTTTATCCTATGGTTCATTTTTTATGGTGGATTTTGCTAAAATTAGTTTTACTTAGGTTGTGAAGATTTTAGCCAATGGCTAAGGATTTGGGAGAACTGGATATTCCTCTAGATCCAACTGTATCTTGTATGTTTCTTCATAATTCTTTCAATAAAAAGTGTTCTCTTCCTAAATTTATTGTGCCGTTCTTTGATTTTGCTGAAATTACATCCACTTCCTATATTCAAACTACAAATCTTAAAACTAATGGACTCAACTAGAGAAAACTTCAGTTCCATATCAGAAAACAAATACACAAATATACATAAGAGATGCTCAGAGAGAGGAGAAGATGGGACAGCCTGGGAGGGTGGCACCCGCATCAACTATGAAGATGTTGCCAGTCACATACTCTGAGGAGTCATGGATCAAATATCGCACAAGCGATGTTAGTGCAGGATCTACCGTTCCAGAGTTTTTCAAAGGTATTGTCCTCTTCGTTACGTTCACGAGCCAGTCTTTTTGTAAGAGTCCTGCAGTTATCTCAGATTTAAACAACCCAGGTGATATAGAATTCACTCGTATACCAAACACCCCCAATTCCAATGCCATCACCTGCAATTAAAGACAGGGAAGACTATTAAATCAGTAAATCACATTATTGAAAATGGCATAACTAGGACTTGAGATATAAAGATGAAGATACTACAGAATTATTACTTGTTTTGAAGAATCAACAACAACTGCTTCTTAGCACCATAATAATAACAATAAAACAGTGAAGAAAAGAACAAAATCTCTCTGCTTTAATATGTATCTTTAACCTCAGAAATATGAAAAATTGATGACAAATCACAGACATCAACAACCTTGTGTTTTTTCATGTAGGCAAAATAAAAACAGTCAAGAATGATCCCAAGGCTCATTTGGTTGCTAATACAATAGAAAATATGCCTTTTAAACGATGATCACATTTTCACTTCTTTTCTATGTGAAAAAAGTAAATCATTATACTAGAAAAGCTAACTTGTGCAGGATAAGACATTATGAGGCCTAACTTCAAGCAACCAAATGAAGCCTTGTGTTAGGATAAGACATAATTTTAGTCATATCCAACATTACCAAACGAAGATCTTCTTAGAAATTTCACAAGGTATACCACGTATGGACACATAGAAAAGCTAACTTGATGATGTTTATATCGCTTTGAATTACCTTGGTAATGGCATTAAGACCAGTTTTCGAAGCAACATAACCCAAGCCTCCAGGTAATTGTCCACGATCAAGTCCAGTAATGGACGACATATTGATCACACATCCCTTAACTTTAGCATCTCGCATAAGTTTGCAGACATATTTAGAAACTAGCCATGAGCCGGTTAAATTAGTGGACAAATTGCTATGCCATTCATCTTCAGTCCAATCTAATGGAGAATTGACACTACCTGAGACAAGGAAAGAATGGTAGTAACACACTTAAAGAAAGTAGCAAGCAATTGTTCTATTCCAAAGTATAGGCGCCAACTAGCTTAGTCAATAAAGATCTTAAAAGTTGTTTTGAACTTTCTAAGATCGAATCCCGCTGATATCAAATTTATATTTTAGCTGTTAACTTCCAAAAAAAAAGAAGTTTTACACATTCATATCATAACAATCCATTAATCATGCCAAAGGATATTAAAAACTAGAAAGGAATCTAGCATGACTTTGATAGCCAATATGCCATATGCAGGCTATCTTGGAGAAAAGTACTGAAAGGCTGAAAGCTAGCGATTAAATTAGAAAATTAGAAACTATAAATTCTTTAAGCACTAAGAAAATTAGAAATTCTTTTCAAGCCCTTAATAACAAGGTACAAAGAAACCAGCAACAATTCCGGAAAGAACAGAGCCAAATCAAACAGCCCAGGTTTAAATGGTAACGATTTTGGTGGAAATAGTACAGCTAAGTCTGGAGGACCAGGACATAATGGGCAGCAAATTTTAATAAAGATAATGAACAATGACCGGTATTTTAAGTATGGCCCTAGAGAAATGGCTAGTTGCCTCCATTGTTAAATTAAAATCCAGTAATTCAAATCATAGAAATAGAATCTTTACAATAGGGTCAGTTGTATAAATCAACCTGATCCTGGATCTTGCATGCATTGACATAAGCCTAATCACTCGGTGTGCTTTTTTTTTAATAATATTTACAACACTACTCTTAAAACTTACTATGAAGACTATAGCTCTATCAAATTGAGCTTTAAATGCAACGCAAAATGCCTTAGATGAATGAAAGATTAATGGCCATTGTGATGAAAGCCCAAAACCCTAATATGGTGCTTCACACACTCACATTATGATGGGTGTTAAAATTTAGAGAAAAAATAAATAAATTATTTTTCATTTGGCAGTTCAAAATGAGGACATAAAAAAATGATAGAATTTCCTCCATGATGAAGTTTTTGTTAAAATGACCCAAAAGAGAGAAATGAATAAGCAAACTTTTTGTAATACCCAAACTACCCTTGCTTTCATTAAAAAAGATTAGAGAGTTACCTATCTGTCATAAAATTATGATATCTACAACAACAACAACAAGCCTTTACCCCACTACGTAGGGTCGGCTACATGAATCCTTTTCTCCATTGTGTCCTATTAAAAGTCAAATTCTCATTTAAATATAATAAAGAAAGATCATTTCTAATATTTTCTAACCAAGTCTTTTTAGGTCTG